GCATATTAGCTTCTTTCCTCACCAAATGTTTTTGGAATTAATTAGTTCTCTTGCATGACATTACCATGAGATCTTAGCCTTTTAATAAATTTAAATAATATAATCTATTTTTTTAATTATAAAGTGGAGTTAAAAATAACTAATGATGTGTACTTTTTCGCATGAAAGAATTCTCTCTATTTCCATACAATCAAATAATACTATTTTTTTTTCTTTCTCTCTCCCAGTCTCCCCCCTATTTTATGCTATTTCATATATACCGAACAAATTGTTAAACAAATTTCCACTATCAATAATTTATAATTCCATACACAGTTCTAAAGTTGGACGTTTAGTGGAACAATAAGCAACCTCTTCTTGGCCAACCAGCAACCAAAGCGAAAGCTAACGAAATGTCCCTCCATTTTAATAAATGCATCAGCATATTTTGCGAGAATTCAACTAGGCAACATATGGGGATCAGTATGTCTGACACATCATATATATATACTAAGCATGAATACAAGAGTCAAAATTTCATTCTAGTTTAATTATGTAGAGGCATATCCAATAAATGCGAAGTTTAAAATAACATAAAATTCCATCTTGTGATTGTTCAATATAGGTTAGACACTTAGACCATCATGGCGAGGGGGAAAATGATATATGCATATATTTCTGTAAAAAGGAAAAACTGCCATGTACCTAAACTTAGCACACTCATATGACACACCCATGATGTATTAATAGCATTATTCTGAACTATTGAACAATAATTTATAAAGAATTTGATTTTCAAGGAATCAGCACTCTGAAGTTTATAAGTTGCAAGAATTATCATTTTCTTTAACAAAACAAATTCATTTTGGTGATCTTTTTTTTGAAGATCAGTGTTTTGTAAAAACTATTTTCAAAAACTAAATAGCAATATATATATAACAGAACATGTATTAGTGTATATAAATTGAAAACAGATTTTAGAAACAAGTATCAAACACCAAAATCATTAACTCATTAGCAAGGTTAAAACATTTTATGGATTAAACTGGATACTTATTGACTTCAGTTATTCACATTTTGTGAATAGTAGTATTTGATTTGAGATTTTCAGCATATCATTGATTCATTCTCCAATAATCATAGAATGTTATTCTCTCTTTACTATTTTACTCTTAAAAAAAAGTTAAATACACCACAAAAACAGAACAAACAAAATCACCGATCAGAACCAAAGCAGGCATCCATCGTTATTATTATTATTATTATTATTATTTTATCCTCTCCTGTCATAATTATTAATTACTAAGAAGCATGCAAATATCCTCAATGATATGGTTGTTCAATGGCCAGGAAGGGAATTAGCTTTCATTGTCTTCATAGACAAGTTCTCGGCAGCAGGCAGCAATTGCTTTAGTTAAATTTGTCTCTCAATCACTTCACTATGTATGTGAACATACTAATCGCTTCTTCTGACATAATTACCCACGCTTTTGTTCCTCTATCCATTGAAATTCTCAAAAATAAATAAATAAATAACCATCAAGCAAAATTTCAAAGTCCCGGCAGATATATGAACTTGATATAATACCTTCATTCTTTAAAATGAATAGAGTGCTATCCACAACCACAAGGGCTGTTAAAAAGAATTCAGACTATCATATCTGTTTTGAGAAGAAAAAAAAACCCCGAATCTATACACTTTTTAAAGTAAAATTGGTTCAATTAAACTGTCCATTTTTATATGATAAATTGGTTCAATTTTTTTATATTTAAAATCTATTCATAGAAATATAAAGTAGATAATTAATCCGTTCTGATTATATGCATGATCGATGTATTAGTTCTGCATGCATAAGTTTTGACGTTGCTGCACGGTCTTCACCTTTGCTGGCAAAGAGGATTTCGTAGGGTAGTCTATCATTTGGATTCCCTCACTTTAGTGGAGCTTACTGAACATGAGATCCCCTCAACTCATTTTTATGCTAATAATGAGCTGCAGGAGATTGGTGGTCTCATGGGTAGAGACTGAGTTTGTTCTCTCTCACATGTCTTGAGGGGGGAAATATGTGTTCGGATAGCTTGACTAAACAGGTAGCTTTACATCTTGGAAAGGTCAAAGTTTTCACAGCTACTCTTGGATTTCTCGAGTCTCTTTTGCTTGCTTATATGCTATTGGGTTACCCCGCTTTAGAGGTAATACAAGTATGTTTTTCTACTAATTTTTGTTTTTTCTTGCTTTCTTTTTCCCTCGTTATGTATAAAAAAAGAGGAGTAGATAATCCAATTGTACACTGAATTAATTCAATTTAAAATTCTTTTATCATTTCTTTAAAAGTTAAATCGATTTATTTTATAAAAACTTATTAACTGAACTATAATTTGGTTTTTCAAAAAATCGATCCACTACTCTCCGGTTAGCTTGGGGCCTGGGGGTGCGAATACGCCATGCAGCTCATGCAGATTGAGTTTGACTATACATATGTATTAATTTTTTATCTGACGATATATCATCTGAATGAATAAAATCAAATTGCCCATTGAACTTTAATCTTTGGTAATTCATTTACTTTCATTTTACTATGCCTAGACACAAAGAAACAAAATTGCACGTTATGTTTCCTATAATATAATTTTGAGTCCTAGCTATTTTTTTAATTTCGTATCTTTATTCTTTTAATTTTATAAAATCTAAAATTTTGGCTAATAGTTTATTAAATATTATTTGTTGAAATTATAACGTTAGTTATGATTTGAATTAAATAAAAAATATAATAATTAATAAGACAATTTTATAGAATGATAATTACTATCTTATTAGATGGTGTGTCATGCACCATTGTGCATTCTCGTCTGAGACAATTTTAGGTAGCGCTACTTTTTCTTTTCTTTTCTTTTTTCCTCCTTCCTTTTTATTCTTTTTCCTCTCTTATTCCATGAGTGTAGATCTGTTGCGACTCACAGTGCAAGTTTGTTGTGATGCAACGTGCAACGGAGGCACATAGGTTCAGGTTCATATCTGCCAGAAAAAGACGTACGTAGGAATCTTCCGTGAATCAATGAAGGCGCAAGCATTTTAATCTCTCACTAGGGCATAGATCTGTACACAACGGAGAAGTTAAGACAATCATGGATATGCCGTGAAAGAGAAGTTACAAAGATCATGGATGAAAATACACAAAAACTCTTGTTTTCCACACACAATAGGAGCGACACAGAAGTGAACACTGAGAAAGGGAAGAGGTAGATAATGAAGGCGAAGGAATGAAACACTTTGAACAACATGTGGCGATCGAAGGTGAAGACCGTGGCGACAATAAAGGCTCAACCGTGTGTGGGGTTACATAGCAATAGTCTGGCAACAAACGGATGAAGCTGAGGGATGGAGGAAGGGAGTTTGAGGGAAAAAAAATACAGAACAAAAAGACGTATAGTGGTCCACTCTAACTTTTCTCATTTAAGATAAATTTCACTTTTAACTCTATTTTTATTTCATAAATAAAAGTGATAAATGAGATAAAAATAAAAATGAAAGTGAGAATTAAAAGTATAATTTTATCTAAATATTATTAAATATTAAGTGTTATATTATATCATTTGTTTAATCTTAAGTTACAACAATCAAATTAAAACAAATTTAATAATTAGATGAATATTCAATGAGAAAATAAAAATATATAACTTTTTTATAAAACAAAAATCTGTTTTTCTTTTTTTTAAATTTTTTAGACAAACATATAAAAAAAAAAAATATATATATTTATTTTATTTTAAAAAATGTTTTTATAAGAAAAAAAATATAAACAAACAAATCTTTAGTTTATAACATAAATATTTTTCAAAGCTATATTAATCTACTAAAAATAAAGAACTACTTTTAGTAAAGAAATTCACAAAAATAATTTTAAATTTATATTCAAATATACTCATAATAAATGACATAAACATTAACATGTTGATCACATAATTTGATGATCTGTCATATGAATATATGACAAAATGTTAAAAATAAGATTTGGATTTCTAGACTTACTTATCTATAACACTTAACCACTAGATAATGGATTTCTTTAATATATAAAAATCAAAGTTACAATATATATATATTTTTAATAAAAACTAAAATTACACATTATATTTACTACTACTAAATTAAAATACATATAGATTATATTATATTTATTATTCGTATTAATAATATTAACATATAATTTATTTAAAATTATATGCATTAATATATTGTTTTAAAAAAAATGAAAGAGATTTGTTACAATTTTTCCAAACTAAACAAAATCCAAAATTATAAGTATTGAGTTTAAATTTTTAGATCTGTCCTTTCCAAGCTAACTCTAATTCTCTTTATCTTTTACCAGAATAAATAAGACAGAGAGCATGCATGGCAACACCTTGAGTTGTGGGCGGGTTTGACTCTCTTGGTCTCCGTCCCTGCAAGACAAGATTAAATTTAAAAAACATAAACTTATATTTTTAAATTCACTCTCATCATTGTAAATATTATTAATTCAAATATACTTATGGAAACCCTTACATTTTTTTTACAATTTTACTTTCCTTGTATACTTTTAAATAAACATTATACTAGTTTATTAATTATATTTTAATTTAAATAATATAAAAATTAATAAATAACAAATAGCTTAAAAATAAAAAAGTTGAAGAATTAAATTGCATTTTTAGTTAAATGTATTATTTTGAGTTTGTTATTTAATTATTAGTAAGTTATTTAACTATTAGGATAATTGTAGTAAAAAACTATTAAATAATTAACTTATATATATTTAATAATTGTAAAAACTAATAATATAAAAATAAAATCTTAACGTATTTATTATTATTATAAAAATATTAAACCTAATATTTTTTTTTATTGGTATAGAGTACATGGATCCTTAATCAATCATGTTCGAATCGCTATGGAAAGAAAATTTGGATTAAAGTTAAGAAACATTCTTTAAAATGTAAATCTTCTTAACCGAAAAGATTAACGCGGTGCGTTTGGTCCGCACAGAAGAAGCTTGCGAGAATATTGTGATTACGGTATTACCCTTCACCATTCAACCAAATTGCCCTTATTCCAGCGTTTGCCTTCATTGCCAATTCTTAATTACACACCGATTCTCCTTTTTCCTCAGACATTTCGATACTTTGATTTTGATCAGATCCACAACGCTTATCATGACGCTTGGCTCTGCAGGATCCAGTGTTGTGGGTAAGACCTTCTCATATAACCTTCTTCTTCTAATTTTATTTTTCTTTCTTATTTTCATCTTTTTAAAACCGAAAATTCTGTCATGGATATGCATATTTTCTGTTAGTTACTTGTTGCCGTGACCTATAGCTCGATGGGCTTAAAAGTTGTTTGATTGTTCCATTTTATGGTGGTTAATTTTTTATGTCTTGAAACGGCGCGGGGTTTTCAACACATAGCTGCAGTTTCGGATGTTGAATTTTGCGTAAATATTGGGGTTGCTTTTGTTTTTCGGGTACCCTAATTATAATCTAAATCACTTTGCCTTGTTGTCATGTGTGTTTATTGCTACTCTGACATGCGTATTTCATTTCTACTATTGTTTTGATATGAGAGCCCAACTGAGTTGGCTAATAGTTACTGCTTGGTACGATTTTTTCTGTTGTAGTTATGTCATCTGCTATTTCTTAATGTATTGAAGCTTAAGCTTACATGTGGGTGTGCTTAAGATAATTACGTAACACATTTTTCTTAGAATTTTGAGTTTGGGTTTAATTCAACCTCAAAATCTAGCTGAGAGGTGAGTGGTTCCCTTATGTATATCGGTATATACACTTGGATCTCTCGAGCGTGAACAGGGGGTCTAATAGGACCAACAACAATGGTTAGGGGGATAAACTTAGATTAAATCTCAAAATTTGGATTTGGGCCAAACTCAATCCCAAAAGTTAATTCATAAGGTGAGAATTGATTTGGCTTACATTCTTATTTTGACCATATCACTGAGAAAATGTGGGATTTTCTACATTTTTGTTCCTAAACATGATTATCATTTGACGATTATTGCCATGGGGCACAAAATAAAACAACTCCTTAGCACATCGGGTGGTTCTTGTTGCCTGCCATGCTTTGGTTATGAATATTCTGGTCTTAGATATAATAATGCAAATTCGAAGTAATATGTGGATGTGGTCCCGGATATGATTGTACTAAAGAGTAGAGGTTGATTGTTAGAAGAATGAGTCAAACATAGCCAAAGGGTTGGTTCTTCTGGTATGACAAACCATGAAAGAAGAAATATTCTTTTTGATAATTATGGGTTTAGTATTCAAGTTAAAGTTCTAACATTTAAAGGTTTGGTTTTGTTTTTTTAAAATATAAGCTATGACCTTTCGAATTACATCTTAGTGAATTCCAACAGTAATTACCAAATTCTCTTGCACAACTTCCTAGAGTGTTGTTTGCTATTCTCAAAATGTAATTATTGATATTTGCTCTTATTCCAGTATGCCTAAAAGTCTCCTATCACTTAGAAATCAAGACTAAGGATAGGTTATAAACAACCTTTCTCTTTAACTTACCAAGGTGCCAAATGTTCCTATCGTAAGTTTGTTGGCATCACTAGTATCACTTTGTCCAAGGTATTGTTTGCTTTGGTGTTCGTTAGACCGTCACGGTTTTGTCCTTAAAGAGGCGTCTCAGTTATAAATACTCTCCCTCCTTAATCCACTGAAGCGTCAAATGTTCTGATTGTAAGTTCACTAATATTGTTAAGGTCACTATATTTAAAGTGTTGTCTGCTTTGGTACTTGCTAGACTGTTACAGTTTTGTCCTTAAAAATGTGTATCGTGGATTAAGGATGGAGGTGTTTATAAACTACTTTTAGCCTTGATTCCTAAGTGATGTGAAACTTTTGGGTACACCAGAACAACTCCTAACCCACTCCCATTAGGAATCTTTGGGACTTGCAAATATGACACTAAGTAGTAGTAGCATAAATATGACGTAACATACTGCCTATAGACAGAAACTTCAAAAATTTAGATAAAACATCTTAAAATTATGAAGTTATAAGCCAACTATTTAGTATATTCTTTTGTACTGCTCTGGAAGGAAGATTCCTTGTGAACAAAGAAATGTGCCATGCCATCTGCTGGATGAAGAAATATGGAACACTTGCTCTGGCCCTTCTGTTCATGACTATAAAGTTTGTATAATGTTATGAACCTTGAATAAAATTGGGGAAAAGAAAAGAAGCATTTTGTTGATTGAATGAATTAGACAGAACTAAAGAGAGAGATCTCTCCTTTAAGGATTCCTCCTTTCACACAGCTAATATTTTTGTTTAAATTTGATACTCAACAGGATGATTCCCCTTCCCTTGCATCCTCTTATTTATATCTAATTAACCCCTTTAACTAACTTACCACTCTAACTATTGCTAACTAATATTTCCTTCTATCTCCTAATGTGCAACATGATGACTAAAATTTGGTGGAAGGATTATATATGCAGTCATTCTTGACATTTTATTGATGATACATTGTCATTTGTCAGTCAGTATGAGTGTGTAATTAAAGGCATTTTCACTTTAATGCAGTTCCAAGGAACTTCAGATTGCTGGAGGAACTTGAAAAGGGAGAAAAAGGAATTGGAGATGGTACAGTTAGCTATGGAATGGATGATGGTGATGATATTTTCATGCGCTCTTGGACTGGCACCATTATTGGCCCCTATAATGTAAATGTTTATCTATCTCTACCCTGAATTGTTTTTCCTTCCAAATAAGTGCATGTTAAATGAGCTGTATTTTATTTGAACTAGTGAATTTTCATGTAGCAATGGATTTAAATTTTGAAGAAACATTTCAATAGAGGAAGTTTTGCATTCTAAAATCAAGTTCTTACTTACCGGGTAATTGCAACTAAGCATGTTTCATATCTCCTTTAACAAACTTCTGTGTCTCAGTGTATGTATGCCAGCATAATTTCCGGGTTCATGTCCAGACAGTCCATTTTTAAGAATTAAGTTAGAGAACATAGCACAAACTAACATATATTAAAATTATAATTGGAAATGTTATCATACTTCTGCAATTTACCATATACTGAGTCTTCACTTGACTTGATTAGTGTGGCATCTTTTTCTCCATTTTGAAAGAATCTGAAATATGAATAATTGGTCTATCCTTTAAACTGGAGTTTAGGCTTATTATCTCTTTTCCAGATAATGTACCTGTATTCTATTTCCCGTGTAAATAACAGGCTGTTTGCAGCTTCAGTAATTGTGCTTTTTCTGTTTTTCTGCTAGACTGTACATGAAGGAAGAATTTATCAATTGAAGCTGTTTTGTGATAAAGACTACCCAGAAAAGCCACCAAGTGTTCGATTTCATTCACGGATTAATATGACTTGTGTTAATCATGAAACTGGAGTGGTATAAATTTTTACATGCTTTCAGTCTTTTTATATGTTTTAATGCAGTGGGTGCTGTGGAGAGGGGGGGGGGGGATACACAATGCTTACTGCTGTGTTTTTCACTTCGATTTTTATCCATTGATGTCGGGAATAAATGAGATTTATGTTGGCAGAGATGCTTTCAAGAGTGTGTAAGAGATCTTACATTGATTAATAAAATGACCAAATAGTATGTATAAGTGAGGGACAATTTTTACCCTATGATTTAGCTTTTGGAGTTGAATTGTGCTCAAACTTAAATTCTAAGATAGTGAATTGGGTTTTGGGGAGGGATCCGATGAAAAAAATACATTCTACATACCATTACCATCCCACTTTTCTTAATCATAATAATATAGTACTTTGTTGATACACTCTTATTCCAAGTGTATTGGAAATTTGAAACTTTGAAAGAGTAAGAGCCGGTTGAACTTGAATTAGCCCAGGAATATGGTTAGGTCACTCACATACTCGAGTAGAAATGAGGGAGGCAGTTAGACAATTGGCAGGCTTGGGGAGTGAGGGAATGGGGATCTGCACCTGAACAGGGCACACAGATTATTGTTTTGGGGAGAAAGGCACCAGATCATTTCTTTCTTGTACTTGTTATGCATTTTCACTGGCCTCTTTGTATTCAAGAACTAGTTTCCCAATATACACATCTATGTTTTCATCCTTTTTCTTATATAATTAGTCCATTTGTAAACATGATAATAGATTACCTTACTTTGATTTATGGATTTGCAATTGAAACAGGTTGAATCAAAGAAATTTGGACTTCTTGCAAATTGGCAACGAAGGTTTACGATGGAAGATATATTGACCCAGCTGAAGAAGGAAATGGCTGCTTCACATAACCGCAAGCTTGTGCAGCCCCCTGAAGGTACTTACTATTAGTCTCCAAGATCATACCGATATTGGATCATATTGCATATGCAGTATGCAATATATATATAGTATGTAATACTCTGGATCTTTCTCAATTCAAGAACATACAGGGGAATGCCCAAAAGTGACCCATCTTTACTTCCATTGCTTCAGAGTTGTTTTGTTGCCTTACATTGTTAACCGTGTTGAAGGCATGCTCTGATGCTAAATATTGAAATCAACTCTTAGTGTTTTTTTTTCTCTTTCTAATTATAACTGCGCTTCCCATTTTGATCTTTTATTATTATTATTATTATTATTCGCTCGCTTTCTGACTTTAAAATTAGTGGGAGGCTATATAAAAAAAGTGACAAGTGCTGTTTAGATGCGTGCATTGTCCTTGGTTGGTGTTCGATATAATGATATTTTCCCCATTTGTCAATGTCAACGTGAATCTCTCTTTGGATTCGAGTTTCTCACAATCAATTTTGGTACTGAGACATGAGTATTATCCCCGTGATGTCTTGGATTAGCCACGATGGCTGTGGTGGGAGAGTATGTGATGGATTTGAGGTTCTCATATTATTCAATTTTGGTACTGATTGAGACATGAGTATTATCCCCGTGATGCCTTGGATTAGCGACGATGGCTACAGTGGGAGTGTACATGATGTCTCCCATATTGGGAAACCTATTTTTAACCATCAAATATAATAATTTTCAAATTAATGGTCAAGATATTTTTTATTTTGTATTTTTTTCCCCAATGTTTCTTAATTTACCCCTAATTGTCTCTTTCCTCCCAATGCTTAACCACTGTTAGTTGCCGCCTCTAACGGGACATTGTAGCTGTGTAGCTGTCGTGGATAACACCTCCATTGTACCGCAACCACCAGATCTCCCATCAACTTCAAACAATGTAGGTACCTCAACAATAAAATCTTAAACCCAACACAACCACAAGAACTCCAAACCTTCAATCATAAAATCACCAATGCAACCACAAGATTTCCAAACTTGGAAAACAAAACAAGCCACAACAATTATAAAAACATACGTCACCATCACACCATGGAACCACATATCTTCAGTGGCGAGGTTTTGGTCCATCTGCATCTCATTTCCCTTCGTGAAATGCTTTCTGGTCTAACTTAGGCAAAGATGAAATCGGAGCGACAATGGTGTGATGCAATGACAACCGCGTAATGGTTACACGATGAGATGATGGTAGCGCATGATAGCGGTACAATAGTAGTGGCACACAAATGTCAACCAATTAGGTCAATTTTGCCAACTTTTATGGTGAAAGTTGATGGAGGGTTGCTAAGGAGGAATCAACAGAGAAGAAATGGATGAAAAATAAATGAATAGGAGGGAGGTTCACGAGTGTTGTGCCATTGGTGGCGATGCTCAAGTTTAGGAACTTGAATTATGAAAGAAAAAAGAAGAAATTAACTTTTTACTGCAATTCTAATACAAAATAAAGTGATCTTTTTCTATTATGGGAAAAGATGGCAACAAACTTTTAGGATGAAAATTTTCATTTTAATTTGAGGCCAAAAACCAAACATTGGTATTGTTTTTTTAATAGATGCATAGTTTTTATTGCATCTTTGACAACAAAACAAAACATGTAGCATTTGTTAGGTTATGCTTACTTAGGTATTACAATCAATTTATAACTTATTTGATTATCTTCAATATTTGTTTGACTAAAATAAAGATATTTGGTAGTAGTATTGAAAATTAAAAATGGACTTTCTTATACTAGTATCAAATAACATTATGGATAAAAAAAAATCAGCTATGCTATTACCTCGACAAAAATAAACTAAGACTAGCTGAACCACTTTGAATATAGGCTAAAAAAATGTGACCCATGTGTATAAGAATGGATTGTCAAGTTTATGAGCTTATTCACTAAAATAATGTTAAAGAAAATCATCTCCTTACTTAAAATGCTACGTTATAAACATAACACCATTTTTGCACTAAATGAATGGAAATCTAAATTTTATATTTTTGTTTTTTTTATCTAATTAAAAATATATTAACTCGACAAATTAACTTGTTTTATCATACATAAGGATACAAGTTAAATAGGTTAACCCGATAAGTAAAACAAATTCAATAGGTCAAACATATTTTTGTATAAGATATATAACTTTAAAGAAATAAATATATGATTTAAATAATAAAAAAAACTATAATAATTGATTGAGATATCTTCCAATTAAATTTTAATAAATAAAAAAATTCACGTCTCCTTCTCTTTGCATGATTGAGATATCTTTCAACTAAATCTTTTGAGACTATTATTTGTGACCTTATGCTTAACCTAAAACTAATTTTAATGAATTTAAAATGTAGATATTGTGTTTGAATGTCATACAAATTGATTTATATTATATATCAGGGAATTCAATTTGTGAGGAGGATATAATAGTATATGATAAAATAATCACCTTATTATATTGTAAACAATTATTTTCTACACCAATAAAATATGATAAATAGTTTGTTGTCTAGTACATTCTTGAACTTAAGAAGGAAGATTTAGGTTATGAATCAATAAAATATGACAACTTTTTTTTTTTATTTCTTTATATGTATTAGTATTATATGTAATACGTTGAATAATATGATAAATATTATATTTAATTTAATATATACTATATAGTATGAATATATTGTATTATTGTAAAAAGATATAATATTTTATCTAAAATATTTAAATTATAATTATAATTTAAAAATACGCATAACTTTAAAATAAGTAACTCTCTATATATATACATATATAATATTATTACTTTAAGAATTCAATTTTATATGAAATTAATTTCCAAGAGGCTCTTTTCATGATATTCTCAAAGTTTATTTTTTCGTATTTTAAATTTTTCATATCAATTAATTCTTTTTTATCAGTAAAAAAGTTATAAAGATGATAGTGAGGATTGAATTAAAATACTTGTACATCTACCAAATTTTTCATTATTAGGGTAATCCTAATAATTATTTCATATTTTAAAGAAATTAATGTGTTAATAACAAAATTTTGAAGGATTAATTTGTTAAAAAGATTTAAATAACAATATAATCACGATTTAGATTTTTGAGAATTTAATTTGAAAGTCAAAGTTTTTAAAAGAGCAATAGGTTGAAATATAATCTTGGAAGATTAAATAAAGCCATCTATAAAATAAATAAAAAAAGGAAAACTAATTATATGAAAATCTAAAACAAATATATTATAGATGTAGAATAAGTGAAAATTACAGTAGAAGATAGTAAATTCTTAAAAATTCAGAAACTGCAGAGATTTCATTCCATATGAGTAGTAATTTGGCAAAATAATAAATAATAATATTCGGTTTGTAGCATGGAGATAATCCATTTGGCAACTTTGAATACTCACTATCTCTCTGTCTATCTCTCTCTCTCTCTCTGTATAAAGCCAATTTTTAACCTAACTTGCTTTACAAGTCCAAATCAAATGGCAATTGGCAATTGGCAATTATCCCTGTATTCGTGTTATTCTTTTTCATCGTTATCAAAAAAAAAAAAAAAGACAGGAGAGAAGAAAGAACCTTTGGTCACTGTGTTTATAAAAAGTTGTCGATAGGAACTACCGTTCCCTCTTCTCTTCAGCTCCGAATCTTTCTTCTTCACCCAAACCCTAATTCGTAACTGCAAAACCCTAAAGCCATGCCCCAATCTAATGGATCCATCCTCACGCGATCAGTGTGGTCCTCCAACCTCGAATCGGAGTTCAGCCTAATCCGATCCGTCATCGACTCGTTCCCCCTCATCTCGATGGACACTGAGTTCCCCGGCGTCGTGGTTCGCCCCGACGCCGGGGATCCCTCATTCAGGCACCGGCACCCCGCCGCTCACTACACCGTACTCAAAGCCAACGTGGACCGCCTCCACTTGATCCAAATCGGCCTCACTCTCTCCGACCACATGGGTAACCTTCCAACCCTAGGCTCCTCCAACGCCTTCATTTGGGAATTCAATTTCAGAGATTTCGATGTCGCGCGTGACGCCCACGCCCACGATTCCGTCGAGTTGCTGCGTCGCCAGGGCATCGATTTCGAGAAGAATCGCGAGTTCGGGATCGACTCGGTCCGGTTCGCGGAGCTGATGATGTCGTCCGGTTTGGTCTGCGATGACGCCGTGAGCTGGGTGACGTTTCACAGTGCCTATGATTTCGGATACTTGGTGAAATTGTTGACACAGCGCGCGTTGCCGGAGGAATTAGCAGAGTTTCTCCGACTTGTGAAGGCGTTTTTTGGTGAAAGGGTTTTTGATGTGAAGCACTTGATGAGGTTCTGTTCGAATTTGCATGGTGGGTTGGATCGGGTGTGCCAGTCTCTGAATGTGGAACGAGTTGTAGGGAAAAGCCATCAGGC